TGACTACCACGATGATATGAACCATGAAAACTTCATGAGGTGGTTAGGTGAGAAATTAATCCCTAATTTAAAAGAACCCTCTGTTATAACCATGGACAATGCAAGCTATCATGTCATACAAATAAACAAGCCACCCACAATAAACAATTTAAAGAGTGAGATACAAAAGTGGCTCATAGAGAATGATATATCATTTGACCAATGCTTCACAAAAGCTGAACTGTTATGTCTAGTAAAAAATAACAAACCAAACCCGCAATATGCTGCAGAAGAAGTTCTAAGGAAACATGGACATGAGGTTTTAAAGCTCCCACCGTACCACTGTGACTTAAATGCCATAGAGCTAATATGGAGCTTAGTTAAAAGAAAAGTGGCCAGTAAAAATATTGGCATTTATGGTTCACAATTGGAAGAACTAATAAAGGAGTGTTTTGCAACAGTATCGGCCGAAGATTGGAAAAAGTGCACGGACCACATAATTAATATTGAAAATAAATATAAAATAAAAGATGGAATAACTGAAACGGCTTTAGAGCCATTCATTATAAATGTTGGTGATGATGATAGTAGTGACAGTGATGAATCTTTTTCGGGTATAGAGTTTTTGGAGTCTGATTTTGACTATGATTCATAAAATTAAGTACCTAAGCATTTTGAGTTTTATAATTCACGATACAAAAACTTCTTGAGCTTATACGTTGAATGAGGAGACACGAATCATAAACCAAGACACGGGGTACGCGTAATGCATTTGTCCAATCTAAAAAAATGGATTATAGTAGGTAAATGGTAAATGTACTGCGTGAACTTTGCCCCATTACCTCTACCAATGCTCAAGAAGTTTTAAAACTTAGTTTAGTTGTCTGTATTAAAAGAATTAATAAAAAATAACTGTCTTGTGTTTCTCTTCCTCTTGCGAATTATACTTAAATAAAAATCGATAATTCTCAACTATTACCTCTACTGTAGCATTGTTTTCTATCCTGACCCTGGGCTAAAAATAAATATAGAAGTATTAGTTGCTACCTCAACTATATCCAAACATAGCTTCATTCTTTTTAATATCCTAATGCAAAAAATTAAGCTAAGCCAATCGGCTATTTAATTGGGATCTATGCGGGATGGTGATGTAGATACTCATAGAGGACGTAATCACTATGTTGGTACACAGCCGTACCTACCTATAACACTGTCCGACTTCAGATTGATTTAGACTGATCGTCTAGCTGACTGGCATGCTTTTGCATTACGTTCGCAGCTAATGGTACATACTTACTAACCCCAGAAAATACAAGTGTCAAGATTTGTTTTACTAACTTTACTTAGTGTTGCAAACACAAGATTTTTTAAATTTGCCGCCTTTTGTTTGTGCCAGCTTTCGTTGGCCAGACTCTAGTAGTGTACCTGTGGAAAATATTCCGAGGTGTACTACATAATGCAATGCTGTTAGGAATATTAGGATTGTGTGTTCCTGATAAGTACGTGGAGCGACGTCGCCGGCCGCCGCTGTTACTGGTGCCACAAGGGAGGACCAATCTATTGGCTGAGTGTCTGCTGACGCGCGCGTTGAGGACACTGAATAAAATAGCAAATATGATCGACCTATTCCACTGTTCTCCGAGTTAATTCACGAAGATAGCGCTTTACATATTATGTTATAGTTAGATATAGGTAGTTATAGTTATTGCTGGTCTATTGTATTGGGTCTAACCTGTAAAAATAGATTAAGTGTGGAAATAAATAAATAAATAAACAAATTGAAATGAAACTATTTTTCCGGATTTAAATCGCGCCCATGACCATCAACCGTGACCATGGGACCTGTAAAGGGCCCGAAACGTCGGTTTGTTTGAAAAAACAAACATACGCGATTTAAATCTGGAAAAATAGTTTCATTTCCTATGTGTAACAATCGCAAAAACCTAAGAACTCGATATAAACAAATTGACTCATGTTGAATCTAAAGACATTTAAATAAATAAGTTCATTGTATTTACTTACATAATTATGTATTAATGATACATAAATTTGGGTAAGCTTCTTACATTTTTATTATTTAGTCATTACATAACTCACTATTTGTTAATTGTGTGTATTTGATTGATAACATAAAAATGTCAGTGTCTCTTTTGTGGTGTTTGTTTGGTGTGCCTGTGACACATTGCATGGGCTCTACATAACATCAGTGTCGTGGCTGTTCTCAGCCACGGCATATGCTGAGTGGTGCCCATTCAGTATCTTCATTTTAGTTTTAATTTATTTTTGTTTATTTTGTAAGTACAATTTAAAATTAATGATATTGAATGAAATTTTCTCTTTCTTTCTTTATTTTACTTGGTATTACAACTCCAACAAATATTGTTTGTTTTTCATATATTTTAACAAATTTACTATTTCTATTTGAAAGCTGGTTGAGATTAGTTAAAAATAGTACGCATGCAATGTAAAAATTTGAAATGTACAATACCCAACACACAGAACCCATCCAACATGAAGCGGACTATAAGAACTAAGGTAAGAAAAAAATTATAACGAAACATATCTAATACTTACCCTTTTCAAGGAATAAAATTATTTAGTAATAGAGTAGAAATCATTCAGTACAACTCCACAACCCAAAATAAAAGACAAGCAAAAGTAAAACAAAAAAATCAACACAAAACATGCAAACATCAAATTTTAAACAGTCAACACAATTTGAATGAAAGTCACGTATGTGGCTGTGGTGTAAGCAAAGGGAATAATGCCACAGTTGAGTCTGTGACACTAGTTTTCAGCAGACCCTAAAACCAAGTAAGTACCAGACATGTATGGCATATACAGATATATAACCTAAAACAAATTATGTAAATATTTATGTAATATAGTACATTGTGTTCTTGTGATGTGTGCTTTTAATATAGAATACTTAAATAAATTTATTTAATATATAAATAAATTTATTTGATACATATATGTATCAGTGAAAAGTGTGTGTACTGTAATATCCAACATTTACAACAAAACAGAACAGTATTTAAAGTAGCTTTTAGTAGTAGTTTTGAAAGTAGTTACCTTTCCTTTTTGCCAATTGTTCTTCAATGTATTTCATCATTTCTTCGTCCTCGTCCCTTTTATTTGTTTCAGCTGAAAACTGCGTGCCAATTCCAGTGTCGTATGCATCATCTACTTGCTTCACTTTTCCGCTTTTTAACGCCTGCATATTCACCATACCCCCAGATTTTACTTTGAAAGGATCCTTGCATGTTGTGATTTCTTCATCAACGCTTACTTTCTGTCCCGTAGCCAAAGTGACAACGCTAACGCCATTTGGGCGTTCTCGAAGCTTCTGTATTTCTTTGGCTTCTTCTAATTTCGCCAATATCAGCGCCTCGTCGTCGGAATCTTCCTCATCCTTGATACGTTGACGAAGGTTTTTCCTTTTCTTTGGTTTGAATTTTATTTCTTCGATCACTCCCAACGACTCTCGATTTTCCATTGTTTTATTTTTGTGCTTTGGAATTCTACAGAGTATTCTTTACACGGAGTGCTTTACGTTTAAATCACTATTGTGATTAAATAGGTACATAAGCAAAATATGAAAACGTGCGAAAATTCTGGAAACGCCAAAACAACGAACCGAACCAAGTGAAGAGCGGTGAGGTGGGAGTGCTTGATACATATCGATATTAAAAAGAAATCGATATATGCCCTCGATATGTTGATCCAATCCGATATTATCGTGTCATTCGGTATCGATTAGTACTATCAATATATTTTATACGATACATGAAAAATTGTACATACAAAGTTGAAAGTACACAATTCAAAATTGTGCAGTCAAGAGCACGGCAAGTTTGACACTTTGTACTTTGGACGTTTCTTATCGTAAGCGGCATAGAGTTGGATTTAAATTTCAAGTGTCAAGCTTGACGTGTTCTTGACCCCTGTACTTGCAGAAACTCACTGGTCATCCGTTAGTGTAATGCAGTGGGCCACTTATAGTGGTTACAATATAACCACTGCGGCCAGCCAATGAGAATATTATTCTCAATATTCAGGCAATAATATAGACAATAATATTACTTGTGTGCGAGCGATATTGTTGTGTTGGGAACATACACAAACTCAAGTTTGTGTATTTACCAACACCATCCAAATGGTCAATAATATTGTATGTGTGCGGCTAAGCAATGAGAATATAAGAATAAGAAATATATTTGATTACTATGTCAAAACTGGTGGTTTTACGTATTTACTCTTAGTAAAATTTCCTTCCTTTTACCTTTTAAAATTATTCACAATGTATCGAAAATAGCGATATTTGTACCGTTATATAGCAAAATATCGATACAACATTTCGAAATATCACATCGGAAAAAATATCGATTTTGTTTTTACGTGAACAACACTATTTTGGGGAAAACATATCATAGAGTAGAACTTCTACAAAATTTTTTTTTCATTTATTTTATGACTATGAATTTGGGTCGTATTCCTGAACTCTACTCAATCCTCAAATCAGGACTTGAGCAGACTTGAGTATGATTTCAAGCACTGGAACTACGACCCTAATGGCAAGGACTTGAGTAGTATTAGAATAGAGTAGAGTTCTAGAATACGACGCTAAGGGTCGTATTCCAGAACTCTACTCAATACTCAAATCAGTATTGCAGTGAGCACTGAAAATCATACTCAAGTCCTTGCCGTTAGGGTCGTATTTCCAGTGCTTGAAATCATACTCAAGTCTGCTCAAATCCTGACTTGAGCATTGAGTAGAGTTTTGGAATACGACTCTAGGGTCGTATTCTAGAACTCTACTCGATGCTCAAGTCATGATTTGAGTATGGCTTAAAGCATTCGAAATCATACTCAAGTCCCTGCCATTAGGGTCGTATTTCCAGTGCTTGTGTTGCCAGGCAATCCTGACTCGAGCATTGAATAGAGTTCTAAAATACGACCCTGATGAGTCTTTCAGTCGCCATTTCGTTAAAAGAACTCTCATCTCAAAATCGTTATTTTAGCATTATAGGAGAATTCACATTTGTTCACATTCAATATTTGCTTATTCGTGAGTTGCTGCAATTTAACGCGTTGCTGTGGCAATCGCGGCGTGCGATTTAATCGCGAATGCACAATAGTGATTTGTTCAATAAAACAGTAAATTAAGTTCATAACTGATATGATAACAAACGTCATTTCACCGATAAAAAGTTACAGTACTTCTTCAGTGTTTACAAAACTAATATATTACAAACTGAACTCTGGACGGTGCATTTTTCATCATTCTCATTGAAAGGCTAAAAGATAACGTACCTACGATGGCCAAAAACGACGATATTATTTTATTGCAATCGCCTCCACCGAAGTTGGAGGAAGTTCAGAAAACTGTGTTTGATTCTGCTGCTCAAGATTTCCTCGTGAAGTTGCATAGAGAATTTGAGAATAAAATAGAACAACTGTACAAGAACAGGTCCAGACGATCTGTGGAATTACAAACTCAAGGGACATTGGATTTTAAAAAGTCGCCTCAAAGGGAAGATAAGAATTGGAAAATTGCATCTTTGCCTAGAAGACTTCAGTATGTACATTCAATTACATATCAAGATATATAAACTGTCACTTTCATACTGTAACTTTGAATTTTCTTATTAATGTGAGAATATCTGTTACCCTATCTGTGGCACTTATGTTTTGTTAACAAATAATGTGTAATTTGCTTCTCGTTTCAGGAGACTTATTCTCCATAGACCTTATTCAGGTAGACAGACAACTCATGGTGTACTTAGTTAATGACTACTTGTACTATTTGATTTTAGGAAATGAAACTATTTTTCCGGATTTAAATAGCGTATATTTGTTTTTTCAAACAAACCGACGTATCGGGTCTTTTGAAGGGTCCCATGTTCAACAAATATACGCGATTTAAATCCGGAAAAATAGTTTCATTTCCTACGTGTAACAATCGCGAAAATCTAAGAACTCAATATTTGATTTTAATTTGTCAGATTCTTTCATTCTATCAAAACCCTCAAGAATTTCAGTATCTTAGTAACTATTTATTCATTTTTGATAGAAATTGATATATGAATATGGAATAATAAATAAATTGGGATATGATGCAATGTGAAAAAAAAAATTTGTCATCAGTTCATAATGTATAAAGTAAGACAGTATACTAAACATGTAATAGAATCATGCGCATATGAAGTAAGTAGTATTGATATCTTTATCATGACAACCTTTGATCTGTGTAAATCATAAAGCTTCAACTGTCGTTTTAGACTGGCCCACTTAATGGCAATAAGAGACTGTATGGATAATTATTAACTGCATATGTTAAAGTTTCCTTTCATACACTTTGGTCAATAGGTACTTACAAATTATAAAATAAAAATTTATTCTTTATTCTAGTCATGATCACACAAGCACACAACAAACATGTTTAATATAGGTGAAGCCAGATTGGCCTTAAAACATTTTTATGTGTCTGCTACAAATTGTTAGATACATCATAGAAACCATATGTCATTTATTATTTAAATTTGCATTTATGTAAGTACTACATATTATATAGGTACATATTATGTTGTAAAGAATTATTTACATAGTTGTACTTAGTTCCATTCTATTTACAGAAATCGTCACCTTGACTTAGGAGATGTATCAGCCTCAAACACAGCCCATTTTGTGTCAGCTCTCAATTCTGATGTACAAGGCATACAAGTAGGTAAATTAAACTGATTGGTCTATTAGGCTAGGATGTTACAGGAAGGTTCTTCATTGGATACCACTTTTAGGCAAACAGTGTTGGTTAAGACAGGCAGTCTTCTAAGGACTGGATGAGGGTGTGGACATGGAAGCAGACAGCCAAATATGTAAAGTGAAGCGCCTTAGAAGAAGCTCAGGCTCAGCAGTACACCGTGATAAGTTGCTGATCATAATGTTATTGATGAGAAGGAGCAGTGACTGTATTTAGTAGTACATAACATAATTCCACCCATGTAACTGAAAAATTAACTCACCAATTGAAAAAAAATTAATAGGCCTCAGATAATGAATTAAGGCCTCAAATAATTTAACTGCCTCTGTGGCCGAACGGTTACCATGCGGGACTGCCACGCAGAGGTCCCAGGTTCGATTCCCGGGCCGGGAGAAATGTTTGTATGGCTTACATTTATTTCTCTCATGAGTTTGGATGTAATTTGTGGTTGTCTATGTGTGTGTCCATGGCACCCGCGACACAGGGTTTCCCTAGTGCAGGGTTATGTTGAGTGTGTGCATTATTATTATTATAATAACTTTCAGATAATACAAACTACAAGTGTGGGCTTCCATTTTTCTGTTTTTCATGAATTCTAGGTGGACTTTGATGACGGCCACTGTCCAACTTGGAGGAATCAGCTATTGGCTTTCCAGAATATTAACTTAGCAGTCCAAGGAAAATTGCCGGGAGCGCCACCCAGTATTACAACATGTCCCGTGCTCATGCTAAGACCTAGAGCCTGGAATATGATTGAACATAACATACTGGTATGTATTTTGAAATCTTGTCTTATGGAATTAATTACGCATTATTTTAATAGCACGAAAGGGTGCCCGCGACTTCGTATGCGTCATTCTTGCTCAGGGTGCAATTTTGGTGTGCAAGCTCAATGTCAACACATGGAATCTTTTCAGTTTAAATTACTGATTGTAACCGTTCAACTGACCAATATTTAAAATATTTATGGTACCTATCACATTTACAAAATGCTTCATTTTTATAATGGAGTGTAGATTACCCAGATTTATTATGTATATAATTTCTTAACTTGGATATGTATTGACTATTAAAGTCGTTTATAGCTTTAACTTCAACAAAAATAATTTTATTTTTGTTGAATGATGAATGAATTTTCATACCATGCCAAGAAACCTGTGAATGTCTTACTACGTGAGAAGGTTATTCAAAACTCTCACTAGATGTCACTAGCGGCGACGAATGCCGAAAGCCGCGTATACAAAGATCTATAACAAAAACACAGGAGAATTTCGTCGGCTCGGTAACTGTACCCGTAGCTCATTTGGTAAAGAGCAATGCTGCGGTGCATCATGGACGTGAGTTCAAGTTCCACCTAGTCGACGAAAAATTATTCTGTGTGTTCGATCTTTGTATTAATAATCATAACAAAGCTATTGGAGTATTTCACAAAATACTCAATAAATACATTTGATTTCCTAAAATTTACTACACAAAATGTCTTTATATTATTGACTAATATCGGCCGTAGATGTCGCAAAAGTCTGTAATCCAAAGCGGGTTTGTGACTGAAACTCTCATTTCACATTATATGTTCTATTTGACTTCAGATAGACGGTAAAGAAGCAATAGGACCGTTAGTAGACTTTGCAATTCTAATGCATCATAACGCGGAAGCGTTACGCAAAGCAAATAGTGGGCCTTTCTTATACCTCTCCAAACTCGAAGGTGCATCGGAGGCAGCTTTGTGGAATGAAATCTTCATATGGACCCAGAAGGAAATTGGGCTACCACAAGGCACAATAAAAGCATGTGTATTAATAGAAAATATTGTCTCCTCATTTGAATTGGAAGAAATACTTTATGCATTAAGAGAACATTCTTTGGGACTGAACTGTGGTATTTGGGATTATTGTGCTTCTATCATTGCAAAATTCGGTTAGTATCTACTCATTTGGCTAAATAATTGATTTTTTATCTTGCTCTTTTTTCAATTAAGTATTTTTTCTTATTGAAAAAAGTAACAGCCTTGTGTAGTACCTACCTACTTTGTTTGTAAAACGATCTGGCATTCAAATGTCGTTTTACTTAAAAAAAATCATAATTAAAATGGTACACAGGCATTTAGTTACATAATTGTTGATATCACTGACATCTTGATTTCCTAATGATGACTTTAGAATGAAAGTAAAATGTGTAAACACCTTTTTATTTTACTGTCCAATGACTGCCACAATTTGTTTCCTATTTATTATATTTAAAACCGGTGCTCAACTGAAGCACTGTGAATAAAAGTCATTTAACGCTTACAGGAGAACGCAAAGAGTATCTTCTCCCCGATAGGAACAAATACGTGAACATGGAGCGTCAATTTCTGGACAGCTACATGCGTCTCGTGGTGGGGACAAGTCACGCTCGCGGCGCTCCAGCCACCGGCGGCATGGCCGCGCTCATGTTGCAGCCTGGTTCCGACGGATCCGACGATGAGTAAGCTATGCCCTTAGGGCCAATGAGTATATCCACAGCGAATATCCACGAGTGTAACTGAAAAGGTAAACCTCGGAGACACAATGCAAGAACTGCATCAAAATCGGTTTCTTAGAGAAAACAGGAACGGTAACTGACACACCCATATACATGTAGCAGTAGAGCTCCTTGTGTAAGAGTTCGTCCAGAGAAGTACTGCCACTTTACCTGTTTCTGCCGCCAACCAGTAATATGAGCATTACTGCGTTCCGGTTTTGTAGGGTAAGGGTGCTGGTGAAATTACGAGCATATGAGACTTTGCAACTTATGTCTCAGGATGACGAGGCAGTGGCAGCGCCCCACAGACCTTTGTGTTTTAAAGCTCTGAGTACCATTACAACTGTTATGGACAGGCGTGTCACTTAACATCAGGCCACGACTTGTTCGTCCCGTCTCTTGGTATCATAAAAAAAAGCATATACGTGACCTCTTAGGTAACCTAAATAATATACCGGAACCACATCTGCAAAATGAGAACTTTTCAGGAGAGGTGTTTCAAGATTCTTATTTATTTATTTCATACAAACAAGGCATACAAGAGAACATAATACAATTTCTCACCAAAAGCAGTTTGTTGGCGAGGTGACACTCACAATCACAAAACTATAGTATACCTAGTACAGGTAAATTTAACACACCACAGTATAATAAGTTTGGTAACTCCATAACACTGCCTCCGTAGCCGAACGGTTACCAGTCTGGTCTGCCATGCAGAGGTCCCGGGTTCGATTTTCAAGCCAGGAGATATTTTGTACGACATACATTTATTTCTTTCGTGACTTTGGGTGGCTTTATTATACCAAGGGTATGAACTGTAACTATGCTTTCAGCTCAAAAGCTGTAATCAATAAGATACTAGCAGCAAAGTTACGGGAAATAGAAATAGGCGCTGACGGTTTCATGGTATACGACACTAGAATTGTTCCATACATAAACGAGGTAAGTAGTTGGAGCACATCATTTACAGTGTGTAACATACACATGCGAGTTATGAAAACGTGTTTCGGGATTTAAAAAGGAGTTTGACACTTGACTAACTTTTGTATTTAATGAAAAGGACCGATTTTACCCGATCTGCTCCGAAGTATGTACTTTATTCATATTCACGCTCTGCAAAAAGAACTTTTTATGTACATTGTGCAATGTTATGGACTGCTTTATACTGATGATTTATAAAAATTTAAAAATCTTATTTATTGAGAAAACAAGCTTTGATATAAATACTAATGCTACTATTTCAAAGTTAATAATTAACTGGACCTCTAAGATGTTGCTTTCTGAAATAGTGCAATATTTTTAAACTGTGATTTTGAAGTTACCTTATTGTAGATAGATTTATTCTTAACACGGACACTATTAAAACGTACCTGTACTTGTGTAAATAGGAAAGCAATGTCATGGTTCAGTAAAAAGAAAAGTACTTCCGTAATACAGATATAAAATTAACTACAGTAGGTACCAAAGGAATATGAAAATAATTTTATGGAGTCTTAAAAAGAGAATATTAATCATTACAGTTGTGGAAGAAAAACGGGTCAACACCAAATCAAATACACATAAAATTTGACCTTGATATAACCACTGCAGATCTACTGACTATACCCTCTGGAGGCGTGACGTCACAGGGTTTGAAGAACAATATAGCCGTGTCTACATTGTTTATTTACTATTGGTTGGCTGGTATTGGCCATTTCTTCTACAGTGGTAATGTGGAAGATTCGGCCACAGCTGAGATCTCGAGAATGCAGATTTGGCAGTGGATTAGGTTTGCTGTAAGTACCTATTGTAAAAACGTTACTATTTCTGCCATGCTTGGATACATTGTATCATTCTTCATTTAAATTATATCGTCCCTTACAACTCTAATGTACACACGTCAGCACATCAAAGCTACACATTGACGTATCTTGTTCCGTTGCACTGGAGGCGATTTTAGAACAAAAATGTGTAGTCTGATGTGCCGTTGTCCGTACATTGCCGTTTTGACGAAAATGAATGGATTTACATCTTTACAGCTATGTAATATGAGGTAGTGACCTAGTGGAAGAACGGTTGGTTCTCAGTTGGAAGATCAACAGTTCAATATATTGTGTCAAAGGATTAGATATTAATTTCTAAGTTACGTACACTCTTAAACGTTTAGTACATAGGTTCAAAAACTTATTGAAAACACGTATTTTTTATATTAACTTAACACAAAATATCACAAGGAAAAAAATTACATATGTAATGTAGTTTATATAGATCATTCAGGTTTTTTAAAATTCGGTAACATCCGGGTCCCTACCGTCTCCCTAGGACTCTTCAGCGCCCACTTGGGATCGATAGGGACCACTTTGGGAAACTATAGATTAGTAGCAACTATGGGATCGCTCCCTCTAAGAAAGGCCACACGGTCGATCTTTAGAGGGAGCGATCCCAATTAGTTCGTTCGGATAAATGAACTAACTCGGTCTTTTAGTTCATTTAGTTTCTTAGTTCAGTGGGATTTGGGAATTGGAAGGGAATAAGAACCGTTTCGGCCTTTGATGGATACGGAATAAAATTACCCGTAGGTACGTACGATTTGTACATTTAAATAGGAATGTTTTCCCTCTTTACTATTTTATTATTATTTTGATGACACGAGCTGGCAAAGGTTCAATCGTGAATCTCACTCGAACTTGGCCTTTAGTAAAAGGCCAATGATAATAGTCCATTAATTGTCTCGTTCGCTTCATTTCGCCTCGCGTTTGTGAACTGAAAGAACTAAAAAGACAGGTGAACTAATAAGATCTCCTCGCGTCAGTGGCTCCGCAAACAGGTCCATTCCGACTGAACTAAAAAGACAGTGCACAAGGAACTAGTTCGTTTCGGTCAGTGTCAGGAACTCATTCCTAATAGTTCTTAGTTCATGAACAAGCCTAGTAGCAACACCTCCCAATAACGGTGAAGTTCTCACATCGTTTGAAACTTGCATCGTGGTGAAAGCAGATCAGAGAAAGGTTCACAATTTTTAGAAATCGCGTGAAGTTCCTCGTGCTTAGGCACGAGTGGGTTGCATAATGGGTTGACGTTGATTACCTAGCCAAGGAAAATTTATATTAATTCCAATTTCACTTATTGCTACTGCAAGTTCGCCTTACTTGTTTGTATTAAGGCTGCCAGGCTTAATACAGTAGCAATAGGCAAATGCAACACAAAGATAGAGAGATTTATAACTAAATGAAAATATCTTCTGAAAAATCTTACAGTAGAACTATGAATAATATTAGGTGTTTTTTTTTTCAGCCTACCTTAGAGGATGATCCAACTCAACGAGTGACAGCGAAACTAATCGAGAAAACTGTAGCAAGTTTCATTGCTCACGCGCATAAAAACCTCTGTCGATCAAACGCCGAACGTAAACGCCTCACAGCTGCACGATACATGATTATGGAGTTATTCCTTGCTAGAAACCCTCCTGAATTTCTTACGAGCTATTTGAACGACAGTCACAAGTTTAGGACATTGCATAACAAGGCGTTGTTAAGTAATTTGTAAAGCGCCACATCTCTTGGGCGATATCGATACTTGATGAAACTACACAGCTATTTTTTTTTCGTTCGACTAAGAGCTCCTTCAAATTAGACGCTTGTACTAAATTTCATACAATATTTAGAAGCGCCACTGCAGCCCCAAAGACGCGCCACTTTTGCAAACTACATATTGTATGAAAATTAGTAGTGGCGCTTCTAAAAGCGTCTATTATGAAGGCGCCCTAATATTTATAAAAGTAATATTTTATAATTCATTTTTATAGTTAAGCGGGCGAATATAACATAATTCCTTATTATAATTTCAAATATTAAACTGTGAAGGGAAATTTAATTAGGTTACGAGAGACGTTCCCATACCGAGACATAGGAGGGGTTTAATGGCTACTTTTAGATATCCATTTAGGGTAATTAAATTAATGTTATTGTTGTTAATATTATATTTGTTATAAAAAAATCTCCCATTGTAAATTTATACATATGTAAGCAACATGGACAATATTATGCTTTGATGAAAACCAAATTTTGAAAAAACTAATAAATATTTTTTTATTAAAGCCTTTCATTTATTGGACAAAGAAGTCGGCTGCACTTTGGGGTTTAACACAATCATAATATCATATTACAATCAATGTAAATCATGTATCGACCATAATCAGCGAATAACAGTCTATCTAACAGTCTATCCAATATCTGTAAATCAACATAATAAAACCCGATAAGGGTTTTTTTTACTTTACCTTTTACTTCACGTTAAATAAATTTGTGGACCGGAAGTTCCCTGTTTTACTGCCGTGATCCTGATCACGCACCACCATTGCACCATTCTAATAAACAGTTTTGACGTATTTCGAAAAATACGAATTCAACCTTTTATTACAGAAGATATCGGTGCTGAACTTTGGGGCCCGAAACACTATTGACTAAACTTCGTAAATCCGCAAATTTAAAATTTTTCTATGTTCATCTCCGGAAAAATGAGTTTCTTACAAATAAAAACTACAAAGTGTTGTATAATTGATATTTTTTTATTATGTTATCTCAAAAATATTGAACATTTTATAAATCTTATAATTTATGTCCGAGTACAAAGCTAACATGTTGACTGCCTTTCAAAAGTGGAGAGAATAAATGGAAATGTTTTTTGGAGTGAATACATTTTACTAAAGCGTGGAATGCTGAAGGTAAAGTGATAGTATTTAAAAAGAGTTATTTTAAAAACTATAAAACAATATTATGAAATATAACAATAACACGTACAAGACAGATATGTATACTTCTCAAACAATCTGAATTAACTAACGCTAATTTTTTTTTGTAATTGAATTGTTAAAGTAACTGTAGATAAAATAAAATGAAATTACAAAGATATAATAATATAAAAATCGTCAATAACATTCCGATATTTCAAATTATGTAGGGTGCTTAAAAATTAAGTATGGTTACTTTGTTAATGTCAATTACGTTGTTACAATCACTTCGAAGGCAAGTACACAAATAAGTCTGTTAGATTTTTGCGAAATTGAAGAAAACAAATACTAAACACACTCGGTTAATAACAATAATACTTAATTTTTAAAATATCTTCAATGATATATTTTAAAAGCCTTTCAAAATGCTTGTGAACAGAATTACGATTTCGCTTCTCAGACAAAAATAAATAATTTGCATAAAGTGAAATTGATTTGTATTTTGAATTTATCCTTTTAGTGCAAACTGACGACTCTAAAATTATCTGTATGGAATTTGTAAGCACCTTACATAAATTTATAATCTAACACCTTTTTTTAACGGCATGAAACCTAATTAATTTTACTATAGGGAACCCTATGCAACCGCGAAAAAAATCTGTTTCATACATTTACAACGGTATCATGGAACAGTTGTTTCTTTCTCACTTTGATTTGGGAGGTTTGTTCTCATATTAAATGTGTGGTATCGTATAAAACTTACTTAAAAAAGAAAATTGGATGACATGTCCTACTATTGTCTAAAAGGATTTTTCATACAAAAACAATGAGTGGGAATTTATAAATATATGTTATTAGAGAATCATAATATATCGAGGCCAAGCATGGTGTTTCTACAACAAAGTGAATAGGTTATAAGGTAGAAATTCCAAACTCGCCGTTTTCAATGGCAAATTGGAGCGAGCCATTTCAACATTTACTGCATTTAGCATCGATTTCTTTGGTAACACCACAAACCAATGAGATATAATTGTCGTTTGATATAAGACGTCTAAGAGCTTACTTCTCATGTTCATTTTAAAATGGTCAATTGATTGTTTCGTCTAGCATTTCCTAACTTGTTAATATCAACTGAAGGCAACAATCGTGTTCCATGAACACTTTTAGGTACTTGGTACTTGGTGTAACGGGCTTTTAGGTATTTCGGAGACAAACTGTAATATTTTATTATAATAAACATACCTAAATTGCAATAATGTAATCGGTACATCATTTTAAGTATCCATCTATCCATTTTGTATAATAGTAAGAGCTTATTATACGTCACGTTACAGTTAAATGGTCTTTAATAATCTCGCAATTCCAAAAATATAACAAAGATTTGAAAAGTCGAATTAGTTAAAAAAGATCCTTAACCAAAACAGTACATTACAGTTTACCTCCATTTTATCTTAACATTATAAACAGGCTAAATTGATTGCATCGCTAAGATAGAATACATCGGTTGTTTTGTTCGCCACCCACCCGTTGGCGCGTCAACGCGCGCGCGAAAGTGTTGTCTCTCGAATGCGCGTTTTGTTCCTGCAGAGATAGTGCTAGGGCGTGTGCTAGAGCCTCGTCCTCAGTCTGTATCGTGAGAAATAAGGATAAATTTTATGAGTTACTATTATGGAGTTAATAACTACAAGTAGTACTTCAAGGGCATAGTCAGTTTTGAGAACCATCACTTTTGTTTTCAAGGTACATGCCTCTTGAGTAAAAAGAAATAAGCACTTATAGATGGCAGAGTCAGCTAGGTCCCTATTAGTATAATTCAATACCTACATTACATAGCGGCACAGAAGTTCCAATGCTGGTATTGCAATTAAGATATAATTATTAGATATCACTAAAAAATTATTGTAAAGAATGATCTATTGTATAAACGAGGGCAAAACAAAAAAATCCACGGTACCATTAATGGGACAATGGCAAAAAAATGCCACTGTACCATCCACGGACATATATCTAGATAGACGCCGCAAGTGTACGTACTTCGCGTGCCCAAAGTAAGCGAAATTCACTTGTCGCTGCTACACTTCAGAACGCGCTTGACCGTTATCGTGGATAAACACCAGTCCAAAACGCGAAAAAATGCTTAACTGTGCCATTATAAAGTGCAAAAGCACCATAACTGTGGGTAAACGGGTAAACAGGGATGTTTCCTGCCACGGGCAAGTGATTTTGTAATCAGAAGATGCATAATTAATTTTAAAAACAATTATTTTGGTTTTGTATGAGTTTCGAGAAAACAAATATTTGTATTACATTGCGGCTCTTACTTGGTGCGAAAATATATATTTGTGATCCTTTGTTAATACGCCATGAATATCAAACGAACGCACTTTTGTATAATGCATTCAGCTTCGTGGTACGGCCGCTTGTACATTTTTTGGCCAAATTTAACATTTAGTGATGTTTGCGTTAGGCAACACTGTTCTCGATTCTGATCGATTTGGAAAACAAAGGGGCGAAAATTATTATGACCTTAGCAATATTATAAAAATATTCTATAACTCTTTTGTTATGTCGTTTAGTAATGTTTCGTTTCTTTTTCAGTTTTGTAGTATCTATTATCAGTAGTATGTGTAGATATGTAGTACGAGTATTACAAAAAAATATATAAAGCAAAGAATAAACAGTGCGCTGTCTTTACAAAAACCTGGAGTTGGTCATACGTATGAGTTCGTAGCTTTCGAGGACGAAGGTGGTCAGTTTATCCCACCTAAGATGCTATCCAAATGTGCAGAGTAGCAGAGTTAGAAATCCGAGAAATAATAAACAAATCACAAAAATGTCACACAAGGCCGTCATTAAGTAAACCTCTTCTGATTAGTAAGATTTCACCATATTTTGTCAGCAGTAACATTTTCATTTATCTTGCCATTCATCAATTTGATCAATTACTAACAGAAAACCATCTAGTAAAATTAATTAAGGCAGTCGCAAGCTCATATATTGACGTGCGTTTTCATTACTTAAGTCAATCGATAAGGTCTTCTATTACGAAAGGATGTTATATAATAAGCTCATTTTACTGGAAGGACAATAATTTTAATATTTGAAGTCAATTAAAAATTACTCAATAATCAACATTTTTTACAAATAAGGAAAATAAAGGATTAAACTATCTTATTCTAGTGCTTTTGTACTAAATTAATATTGCGACTAAGAACTTGTAATCAACAAATACTTGAACTAAATTATTCTATTTAGAATTAATGTTTCCCTCACTAAATAGTTCTTGTGACGTCATAGTGGGTACAAAAAACGTGGCATGCTTGGTTTTCATACAAATTGCTGTACTTGCGGCGTCTATCTAGATATGCTGTGGTACCATCGATGGAATTGTCTAATGGTACTACAGTAAAGAAAGGATAATAACAATTGATTTGCTAAAGAAATATGCATACGATGATTTAATTTCTTACCATGTTGCCTTGCACAGCAGAGAAAGCGACAGGCGAAGATGCCGGCGACATCGCCGCCGCTGCGATCTCAGACGCCCTCATCCGCCTCATCGCCGCGTCTCTATAATATTATTCATGATGTTATGATGCCCAAGTAAATTTAGATAGAGATGAAATTAACTGCTATATTCGCATAGCACGCTAAACGCTATATTTTTATAGCGCGTTATTTAAAGTGCTAAAATTAAAATAAAATTAAAATTTTAGTTAAATTTTAATTAAACAAACGCTAAACTAAGTAAATAAATCCAAGTACTTAATTATATCTTAATTTAAATCGCTTCACTAGACGAAATTTTGCTAACGTTCCACCATTAGCTCAAAATCGCATTAAAATGTCACCAAAATTATAATTTATAACATAACTACAATTATAATACTTGCTAAGTGCTAAATATAGCATTAGCGCTTCGCGTACTCAAACGTGTTTAACATCAATAAACCAATCAGCTATTTCGCGTTTCGCACCAAACGTTAAATGCTACAAATAATATGTGAAAGTATTTCACATTATAATTGTTTCAACCAATGACAAGAGCCGCAATTTTCACATAGAATATAGTGCCATCTATGAAATATTAAGGGAGATAACTCAGGACGAAGAAGGATTTTGTTTCTTAGATTGATGGTATTGCATTGAAATATTGTAAAATTATGTCGCTAGATGGCATTTGGTTTAATTTTCTTAACATACTCCAATCCAAAGTGAAAAAAAGTTCGTTATAATTTTAGCATCTTTATATAATTGCTATAATTAATTTTTAATCTAACATTATAATTTGAGCTATATATTATATTAACCATCTCTAAATTTAGATGAACATAACAATTACTATTTTTAAACCATGATCCAATATTTTTCCCTGTACATTTCAACAAGTGCTAAAATAAACAGTAATCACAGTCACTTACGCAGCTTGTCGTCTCTTAGCAGCAAGTTTTCCTTCACAAGTGTGGTCAGTGACGTGGCGATGACGCAGGCAGTAATTAAGCGAGCATTCGCTACATACAAGAGGCACCATCTCTTTCGTTTTACAGCCCTTGTATGAACACCGATTAGTGAATACCTGAATAAGAACACAAAATTATTATTATTAACTATCAGCAGTTATAGTACTACCATGAGATGAATCAGTCAGTATGCCATTTAACAAAACTTATTCCTCTACAACATAGATTCCCAAACTTTTTAGCTCACCAGGAAAGGTAAAAAAATTTCAACGCCCACTGCCACAAAAAACAATTGAAAACACGTATTTTTTTATATAACTTAACAAAAAAATCACAAGGACAAAAAATTATATATTTGTAGTTTACTTCAAATGTGGTAGCACCCCCTGGATAGCATCAACGCTTCCCAATTGCTTCCGAGATTTCTACCCAAGGACTCATCAGCGTCCACTGGGATGCGGTAGGGACCACTTTAAAAGTTAAAAACCATACTCTGACATGAGACAATAACTAGTAGTAATCACTGACTGAATGATTGTCTATGTTGTTGTTTGGTTACATAATTGATTTTAGCAGAATACATACCTTTTTTCGTCGTTCCCTTGCTGGATCTGAGGTACATTGATTATCTATGTGTTCTCCAACAGCCACATCAGGAGGCTCCCCTCGCTTGCCTGGTACAGGGGCACTGCACAGGGGACATACTGGTACTTGGACATCTCGGTTGTTTGGTGCAGGACACTCGTGCTTTACATATGCAAAATGGTCCGAACTGAAAATATTAACACACTGATTGAAACTGACATACTTTGAAGTAAATTTTTATAGTTGGTGCCAAACACATAATATATGTATATACACATCTATACAGATAAGAAGACCAACAGAGGACTTGATAAAGACAAATCTTTATTGTTATTTTTTATGTCATCACTATTGAGGTGCCAAACACCTCAACAGTGATGACATAAAAAATAACATTATTCCATATACTCAATTGTGTCCATACTTACAGCAGTAACTACCCAATGAATGAAAACCAATATTAATCCATTTTGTTTTATTTGAATACTGAGGACTTTTTTCATTAATTTGAAAAATTATATCATCCAGCCAGCCAAAAAGTACATATACAAGTGTTAAAAATGTTGTTGATAATGTGTCAAAATTGCATAGCAATGTTATAACATCCTATGACATAGGAAAAGCGCTAAATGCCCAATATACATTAAAATGTATTAATTACAATTACATGCTTCTGGCCCAAAAAAGTACTTTTCTAAATACCCTTTGGTCATATAGAATACACAGCGCTAAATTTAAATGCGATATTTTGATTATAATCTTCACTGGTTAAGTACATGATGATACTAATATTGTCTGGATCTTAATCACTTTTCACATTATATACAGGGTGTTTGGAAGGTCGATGCAAAGCCTTAATGTGAAGATAGTATAGACTATTTAGAAGCATTTTAGGTAGGGTTGTCTAAGACGAAGTCTAAACATTTTTTTTAATTTAAATTTTAAGATTTTTTGAGAAAAAGCCAATAATTTTAGAGGTATGGGCTAATAAAGACCAGCTCAAATAATAACTCAATTATTTTTTATTTTATTTCAATAAAGTAATGTGCACACAGTCTAATAAAACATGTTTTAAGCATCTGTATCGTGGGAAATATTTTTTACAGGCTTTTAAAGTTTACGAAAATGATGAATAATTAACGAAACCGGTTTTTTTACGTCATTTAAAAAAAAACGGCAGGTGGTGTTTTTGTTCAAACACTTTTAAAAACATGCTTGGTTATTGCTGTTTCTTTTAAGGTATCATTTATGCAGATATCTTACAAATTCTTAAAATTAGGTCCTTTTAACCAAATTAAAGGCGTATTTAATTTTGAAGGCAGAGTAATAAAACAATATTTTAACTGAAAGCATGTGTTATTTATTGATGTTCAAAATGACCGCCGCGATTTCTAACACAAGCACGGGCACGTTTTCTTATTTCTGTAGTTGTTGTTTTCAACATCATTTCCAGCTTCATGGTAGCAAAAGCCGAATTAATTCTTTGTATTAATTCTTCTTTAGTGTTTATTTCCACACTCGTGTACACTAGTTCTTTGGCCCGACCCCACACAAAAAAGTCCATCGGGGTCAGGTCCGGTGACCGAGCGGGCCAAGGGATGGGCCCACCTCTGCCGATCCAGCTTTGAGGGAAGGAATTATGTAAGTGTTCTCTTACATTTAATGTCCAATGCGCTGGACAGCCGTCTTGCTGGAAGATGATTTCCCGGTCGGTATCAAATATTGGGGCACCAGATTCCTCTGCAAGCGCTGGAAAGTCGTTTTGCAGAAATTCTAAATAATTATCACCATTCAGATTATCCGGTAAGAAGTGCGGACCAATCAAGGTTCTGCCAATTACTCCCGCCCAAACATTGACAGAGAATTTCCTTTGGAAAGTCACCTGCTTTTTCCAGTGCGGATTATTAACCTTATTGGCCCATTGATGTAAATTGTGAAAATTTGTAATTCCCTCCCTAGAAAATTTACTTTCATCCGTCCACAAGATTGATTTCAGGAACCACGCATTTTCAATGTCTCCATTAAGGAGCCAACGGCAGAATTCAATCCTTCTGTGAGGATCTTGCTCTTCCAGACCTTGCACACCTGTTCCGTGGAACGGATACCTATTATTAGAGTTCAGTGTTTTCCACACTTTCCATTGGGAAATGTTTAGATTTCGAGCTATTACTCTGACGCTTGTTCCAGGATCCGCTTCAAATGCTGCCAAAATATCTTCCTCGGTGCTAGTACTGTGTCTACCAGGGTTGACTCCAGGTTCCGCACGGTGTATTCCACTTTCAGAAAGACGACGAAATGTGTTGTAAAACACTCTAACGTGCGGCACCCTGCGATTCGGATAGCGCTCTTGATACATTCGCCGCGCCAAAGATCCATTGCCGTCTGCTCTTCCATACATAAATACGATATCCGCATATTCCGCATTTGAAAAAGTAGCCATAGTCAATTCAACGCAAGTGAATAGATAATAGTCTAAAATCAACACGTGCAGGAGCGCAAAGGGCTACAGCTGAACACGGTGAAGGTGAAATATCACGAATACGGAAATAACGTCTAGTAACACGGGCAGTTGTCACTTGACTAACTAAAAATGTGACGACTCCCTTAATACTCTCCCTACTCCTGGCTAAAGAAACGTCGTTTTAGCAATGTTCGCCATCCCCTATTCACCTGCCTGGAAAACCCCAATTTATTGCCGTCCTACTCGCACCGTGCGCATTGGCTGTTATTTGGCGATACCTTACGATTATTGTACACGTGCGCAATAAGTGTTAGAGTTGCTCTCAGTTATCATTGCCAACTAAAAAATAAGTTAAATGACTAAAAATTATGTTTTATTCGACTGGTTTGAAAAATAATTTTCTTTCTCAATTTGGTTTGTAGGTCCCAATTTCAATAATTTATTACGTATCTGCATAAATGATACCTTAAAAGAAACAGCAATAACCAAGCATG